CCCCGCCCCACCCCCGCCGCCAGCACAGGTAAGCGCGACCCGTGGGGGGCCCCAGCCAGCCCGGGCCCGAGGTTCGGAGCGTGTGTCCCAGACGGCACCACCGGATGACTGCTTCGGGTCACTCGGAAAAGGGCGATCTTGATAAGAATCCGACAAGTGTCTTCCGCGAGCGACTTCGTTTATCCGTTTATGGATTCCAGCAGCGGGGTGTAAGTACAACAGTTAGCTTCCGTTCTCAGGCAGGGGGGGCCGTATGAGCTCCTGTGTGCGAGCCCGAGGAGGGAGAGAGAGACGGACACGGACTGAGCGAGGTGGTCGTTCCCCAGGGCGAGGGGAGGGGGCAGGAGACAACGCCAAACCGATAACGAACAAGCCGCACCTCGTTCGGGCTCATCCGGAGGCCACCGTCTGACTGTCAGAAACGGACAAACAGGAAAAAGGCCGGCCGGCTCCGATGTTCCGCCCACGAGTGGCGTCGTCCACTTGGGAAAGGCAGAAACCCACGCCAGACCTCAGCACGGGCCACGGCAGCCGGGGGTCAGCAGCATGCACGGCCGCAGGTGTCGCCGCCGCCGTCCCCGCTCAGAGTCCCCCGGGGGCGGCCACCTCGGGACAAATGCAAATCGATTCAAAGCTCGCCGAAGCTGCCTCCGTCTCGGACACCGCCGCGACGGCCGGCATCGGCCGGCATATATGCCTCCCGGTGTGTCGTCGGGGAGGTGCGAGCGAGAGCCGCCCCGGCGCCGCACCCGGGGCAACAGAGATGGAAAGCGCGCCCGGTTGGCGAGGCAGCCTTGTACGTCCGCTGTTTCAATGGTAATGAAATCCATTCTGGTCCCCCTGCGGGCACAGGCGAGTATCGGGCCCTCGCGGAGACACCCGCCCTCCGGCCCCGCCCCCCGCGTCCCGGTCCCGCCCCCTGCCCACCGCCCCCTTCAACCTGATTAGAATCCGTCGTGGGAGCCGAGAGATGACCCTACACGTGTTTGGTCTCGCCTTCTCACCTGTCCGCCGCGACGGCCAACCGACGGCTTGGGAACCCCCCCCCCCCCCCCTCCCCAGTAAGAACACCAAACGGTAAGAGCAGAGCCAAGATCGAGTTTAATTAAAGAAAAAAAAATCGCATCAAACGACAGCTGAGACTGCATACTTTTTACGTGAAGTTCAAGAAGTATGGGATTGACGCAGGATCTCACTTATCATCCACTACACGGATTTGCTAAATAACAATTTGAATACTACACCTATCATACCACTTTGAGCTGCTTGAGCCACCCACGTAACCGGGTACATCGCGAAAAAAAAATTGATACATCGATATCAATAAGAGTCCTTGCCGAATTTTTCCATCGTTACGTCTGAGAGCGCGGGTCATCGGTCGTCGGCCACCTGGGGCCTACGTTACGTATTTCACACGCGTGGATTATGGACGTCAGCAGCAGCCGCATTCCATGATGAAGAGTGCTGTGACGGAGGCGGGCAGATAAAGCAGAGGGACGTGTGTGCACGTGTGGGTGGCAGTGCACGTGCACTCCGCGTGGTGGGGACGTGTGTGTGTGTGGAGGGGAGCGCGCCGCCATTGGCCGCCCGCCGCGCGCTGGACCACTCCCCCCAGCATCCCATTCAAAGATGGCGCGGCAGGCGGGGCGCGGCGGGGCGGAGCTCACCGCCGTGGCCGTGGAGCGGGAGAGGTTAAAGGGGAATGGGAGATAACGTCGGAAAAGTGTGCGTTGATCATGTTTTACTATTTTTGTCGTTTTTTGTTGTTTTGTCCGTCACGTCTCCGCGCTGCAGTCCGCCGGCCTGCCGGCCTTGGTGGCGGCGCGGGGGGCGGACCTGTGCAGCGCGCTGGCCGACGACTGGCGGCGGTGCGAGGCGGGGCGCGGGGCCGCCTTGCTGGGGGCGGCGCGGGGGCGTGCTGGCGGGGCTGAGGGGTCCTCGGCGGTGGCCTGGGTCTTGATGGGGGAGCTGGTGGTGGTGAGCAGCCTCTCGTAGTTCGGGTCGTCGGCCGGGGCGTAGGGTCGGTGCTCGCTCAGGGAAAGGTTCGGCGGTGAACACGCTGCGGCACCCAGACCGCGGCGCGTCCGAGATCTCGGCCGCGACTCGGGGTCCTTCGACTCGGCGGGGGTCTTCGTCGGCTGCGACTCTGCCCTCTTTGTCGGCGAGCTGCTCGGAGCGGCCTCCGGGAGGGCGGTTTGGGCCGCGGGGGGCGGCGGCTGCTGCTTCCGGGTCGCCGACTTCTTCATGAACGAGCCGCTGAGGCTGAAGGACCCTCGGCGCGAACCGCTGCTGACCTTGCAGAAGGACCTGCTCCGGGAGCTGGAGGCGCGCGAGCTGGCGATGCTGGGGTTGTCGAACTCGGCGCTGTGAAACTTGTCGTCAGAGTCGTAGAAGCCGTGCTTGCGGCGGTCGACGCAGGTCTTGCGTTGCACCTAGACATGCCGAGGGAAATTTAAGATTTTTCAAAAAAAAAAAAGGAGATAGGGGAGGATAGTGCGACCTCTCACCTGTGATGGAGCAGTGGTGGTCACAGCTGAGCTCTTGGTCACGGCGCCCACCAGGGCCTTGTACACCTTGGAGCCCACCTTCACCACCTCCTCGGTGGCCGGGGCCGGCTGCGCGCGCCGCAACGCTCGGTGATGGCTTGCGACGGAGCTGGCCCTGCTCGTCGTGGACTTTGAGCTGCGCGTCCTCCTCGGTGGGGCGGCCGCCGCGGCCGCGGAAGACGAGTAGAAGCTCTGCAGGCTGAGCGGCTGCTGCCCCTGCCACCCACGTCATTTGTCGTTGACGTATGCCCGACTGTACCGGCGACACAGTAACTGTACCAGGCGGCACATCGGCCGCGGACTTCAAAGGTTTACTGTACCGCATGCAGGCATGCGGGCGGGATTGCCTATCGCCTCCGGCCACGGCGCCGTCCGGCCACGAGCAAAGTAGGCAACCCGCCCGCATAATACGACTACCAGCAGCAGTATACAGGTTGTGGAGTCCATTATTACACACTCTGCTCTGACGCGCACCTGGACGCGAAGAGGAGGCTGGACTTCCGGCGGCGGCGAGCTGGCGCCGTCCTCGGGCGAGACGCCGTTGTCCTCCCTGATGAGCCCCAGGGAGCTGGTGCTCTGCAGCTGCAGCTGCTGTAGCTGCTGCCGGTGGAACGAGTGCACGCTGTCGTGCAAGGGCGGCGGCCGCAGCGGCAGGCCCGGCAGGCAGTAGCGGCAGTCCGAGCTGGGCCTGCGAATCTGGAGAGCGCTGCGCTGCCGGTACAGGCGCTTGTACTCGGCGCGCCAGTCGACGGCGTCCTGGCCGGCCTGCGGGACGCCCTCGCCGACCGTGAGCGCGCCCTGGGTGAGCGCGAGCGGGCCGAAGTCCCGCGTGAGGGTGTAGCGCCACAGGACGGGGTCGGTGGTCAGCGCGTGCAGCGCGCGACAGCAGGCCGCCAAGCGGCACAGGTCCGCGACGGGCAGGCACGCCAGCACCCTCCGGGCCGCGCGCAGCGGCAGTCCGAGCAGGCTGGGGTTGACCACGGCGTGCGCCGTGCGGGCGGCGCACATGGCCGGCCTGGACAGCACGGTCTTGACGCTCTCCGCCAGCCGCGAGATGTTTTGCAGCTGCGGCCGCGCGCGGGCGACGTCCTCCACGACGTACTCCCCGACCGGCAGGGCGAGGCTGTAGGTGGTGGTGGGCGCGTCGGCGCCGCCCGACTCCCAGAGGACGCTCAGGTTGACGAGCATGACGTCGGCCCAGAGGGCGGCCACCAGGCGGAATGTGCAGTCGGTGAAGGGGGGCAGGCTGAGCGTGACGGAGAACTTCTTGTCCTTGGCGAGGGTGTTCGGCCACTCGTCGGGCAGCAGCGCGGAGAGCATGCCCTGGATGGCGCGCGCCCCGTCCGCGACGCCGTCCACCACGACCCTGGCCGCCGCCCGTACCCTCGCCACCTGGGCAGCTCTGGCCGACACGATGGCGGGGTGCGGCGCGCGGCGGCCCAGGAACTTCCGCGGCGTCTGATGCGGAGCCACGCGACATCGGCGCCGCCCCTGCTGGTGGTCGAGCTGCGGAGCGGCGGCCACGACGGCGCCACAGATCAGAACGAGACCCCCTTCGGCGAGGCTCGAACGAGCCGGGGCACCGCGACCGGGTCACCGACCTGCAGGGACCTGAGGTACGGCATGGGCCGGAACGCCCGCATGAGGCGCGTGGGACGAGGCCCCGTGTCTGGCCGCGGTCTCTGGTGGGGCGGCGCGGACTGCGGCGTCGGCGTCCTGGGGCAGCTGGTGGCGGCCTCCTCCAGGGGGTCCTGGGGCCCCGAGGGCGCCGGCTCCGCCTCCTGGTCCACCTGTGCACCTGCGCGTTAGCCTGACGGGCCGGCCCGCCGCACAGGTGCGTACGGATGGACCGCCGGCACTCGTGGGAACATTTTGCAAACGAACGCAGACAATGGCGAGGGCATCTCAAGCTTTAGATATCGGAAGCAAACGCGCCAAACGTCAGCTCCGTCTCCGTCGCACCAATGCGGCGAGAGATAGTAAGAGAGAGATAGCCTGGTTGGCGGGCGGCAGGTGTGGACTCACCTGTGCAGCTGTCTGCAGCTGCGGCCTGAAGCCCGCCTGTAGCAGGTGTGCGAGCAGCAGCGACAAGAGCATGGAGCTGCTGCAGACACCTCCTGCGGGTACGCCCTTTCATCGTCCATCACTCTCGCAAAATTTGCAATTTTACACGATCGCGATGATGATCTCACCGGGGGACTCCTTTCCGGTGCGCTCTGCGGCCATGGTGAGGACGAGATCCTGGAGCACGCCGCCGCCGCCGCCGGAGGACGGCCTGAGTAGTTCCTGCTCCCCCGAGTCCTGAAGTGCTGGTTTCTGATCCCGCTGCTCCCCCGGCCCGGGCGCCGCGCCCTGCCGGCCCTGCCCCGTGTCGAGCGGCGCCCCCTCCGCCGCGGCCGCACCGTCGTGCTGCTTCATCTCGTGACGCCTTCATCAATAACGCAGAGACCCTTCGCCGCGTCCATCACATGCCGTTTTCTTGCGGCTGAATAAGTCAGATGTAAATTACCCGTCAGGTGTAGATGGTCATTTCAGTAGCCCCCTCGCCTCTTCGTCGTCGCCGCCGTCGTCGTCGCCCTCCTCCGCCTCCTCCCCGTCCCGCACCATGCGCCCCCGCCACGCCACGCCACGCCCGCACACGTGCAGCGCGCCAACGTTGCGCCCGCGCCGCACCCAGCCGCGCGCCTTCCCCTGTCGTCATGGCGACCGCGTCGCGTTCTATTTTTACGATTTTTACACTCGCGCAGAGAGCGCGCGGTTTAAAAACTGAGGGCACATTTGCTTTCATCATTCCAGGTTTAACGGATGAGATACTCCGCGCTTTTCTCCTTCTCCCGCGGCGCGGAGCTGGTCCCGAGTGAGATGCGAGCCGCGCGAGAAATGTCAACACCAAGGGGAGAGGGAGCAGCAGCGCAGCGGCTCGAATTTCAGCGACGCAATTTAATTCAAGCAGTAGTTTTTTGTTTTTGTTTTTATTCGCATTTCTCTCCCTCCCCTCCTCTCTCTTCCCTCCTGCTGTTCTTGTGACCGTATGTATAGTACCTTTAATACGTACTCAGGAACTTGTAAGGAATACATGAGACTGCACAACGGGATAGACAACAGAGGTATGTAGATATATCTAGTGATGCTTAGCATACAGCAGCGAAATTAGGACGCGAACATTTTATTTTTATGGGTGAGAATATCGACGACCGTGGTGCAGTGGTGCACTAGTGGGGAAAGTAATAAAATGCGCGATGGCGAAGAAAAACGGAAATCGATGGAGCCGACGCGGTCGGCCGCAGCTGATCCGGCGAGGCACGGCTGCGTGGAGGCGGGCTTGTGCTGCGCAGCGGGCCTGCCGGGCCCCATTAGGGAATCACTTCTCCAATTTCGTTACTGGGTCAGGTCAGCCGCCGCCGCGGGGCCGCCCCGACGCTGTCCGGCCCCGCTGTCCTCTCGCCCCACCCCCTCCCCTCCCGCAGCGCTGGGGTTGTCCAGTCAGTCAGCCTGTCGTGTCCTGATGGCCTGCCCCACCACCATCACGCCCACCGCCCAACCCCGAGGGGCAGGGTGGGGGCACGTGTGGTGGGCACTGGATCCAAACAGCATCAATCAATATGAAACAACGACACAAAAAGCCGGTCGGCGGGACAGGCAGGGCAGAGTCAGGACGCCGCGTGGTTGCTTGGGGTGGGGGGAGGCTTCGCGGGGGAGGTGTGGTGGGCGGCCGTGGGGGGATGAATACTGCTGGCGCACCCTGCAGCACCGCAGCACTGCAGTGCAGCTGCCAGGTCAACTCAGCAGCGAACCAGGTGTTTGCTGTGGAAAACGACGTATTTGTGAACATTTTCTCTTCTAATTCGAGAGATTACACGACAAAGGCGGAATCGGGATGGAATAATTTACACTGTAATGTCATTAGAAAAGCGCCCCCACGAGTGCTTGAAGCGTTGCTCCCCGCTGCGTTTTCGAGTCCACCTGGCTGGAAAGGGAAGGGACAGAGGGGCGGGTCCAGGGGGCAGCCCCTCCGGCAGCACCGGGGCCTCTCCCCTCTCGTCCGCCGCCACGCCACGCCCCACCGCGGGGGCTACAGGGCCCCTGAGCATCGATCCGAGTCTCTTCCCTCTCTCTCTCTCTACCCCCCGCTCTCCGTCCTCTTTGCCTTTTTATCTCCTCCCTTCTCGCAATAATACACCGCCGGTCGCCTCTCCCTCTCGGCAGCCCCGGCCCCACCCCTTCCAACCCCGCCGGAGCCACCCCTCACCCCTCCGGTGCCCCTGGCTCACCCTGCTCCACCTCTGCCCGCCCGCGCCCCCCAGCTCGACCTCCCGCACGCCCACCACGCCACCGCGCTGAAGTTCGCTTTCAATTTGCGTCTCTTCCCTCTGCCTTTGCTATGCCGCCGCCCCGGACTCCACGACGCAATCCCGCCGTATGTGCACGGTGGAGGCCAACGAGAGCACCGTATCGACATCCAATGATGCAACCGCCGAAGGGCCGGCCGGGTCGCGTGGAACTGGTGGAACGTGGAAGCAGCAGCGTGCCGGAGCCGCGGGAGGATTCAAAATGCATGACGACGAGAGCTTCCACCGGGCGAGCAGCGCCGCGAGTGTGTCACTTATTGAACGACCCGCCGATAGGAACAGGGCGACTGGACTGACCACCCTGAGGTGGCGGTCACCTGCTACGCCGCACACTCTCCGAGCTGACCCTGAGGTTTCAGCCGCTATGCGCCACGCCCGCGAGGAACCTCAGGAGGGCGCGGAGCAGGAACCCTTCTCACTGATGCCCCCCCCTCCCCTAGCCTTAACTTCTCCTGGTGCCCACGTTTACTCCCCTTGTACAACGGAGGGCTGTAACAGAGATTTGATGGCTACTTCGCCGTATGCGAATGGCCGAGACGTCGACTCGTTTCGTGCCCCTCTTTGTTGCTCCGTCTCTCTCTCTCACCCTCCCGAGCGCCGCCCTCCCCCTTCTCTCTCTCTCCCTCCCTCCCGCGCGCCAGGGCCCCTGGCTCCATGGCGCCGTGCCCTCGCCAGCCCCCGCCCTCTCCCTCCCTCTCTCTTTGGAGCCGCCCGCTCGACCCAGGAGATTATTCCTCCCTCCTGCGCAGGCGAGCGCCACCCCATGCTACCTTTCTCTCGCTCTCTCTCTCCCTTCCCTCCCTCCCGCTCCGTTTCGCCGCAGCGCGTGGCGAGGCGGGTCGTAGCGGGCCGGCGCTTTGGAGGTACGGCCATATATCCTCCCTGCAGCATGAGTCACGCTCGTCACGCACGTAAAGATGGCCGTAATCATGAGAAATCCCCAACAGACCTCCGGCTGCTCCACCCTCTTGCGCCGTCGTCCTCTCTCCCCCTCCCTCTTTGCGCCCCCCCCCCCTCTTTTCTTTCTCGCTCTCCCCTCTCTTTTCCGACTTTTTGCTCTACGGCCGACAGACTATTCTGGAAAGTAAATTAGAGCGAAAAGGCAGAGGCAGGCTTTTCATTTTTCCCTCTCCACCGCTCTCTGCAGCCACTGCCTCTGCGCCCTTGAGTCAGTCGGGTCGGCCACAGTCACCACCATTCGCCCCTTCCCAAGCCCCCTTCTCTCTCTCTCCTTTACCAGCAGTGACGCTCACCTCACTCTCCCAGGAGCGCAATATGTAGCCTCTCTCTCTCTCGCTCTCTCCCCCATCCCCTCTCGCCTTCTCCGGCGTCCACTCTCGCTGCACGCCCGGGGTTGGGACACGTCCGAGGCTGACGGCCTCTTTTACCCCCCGAGCACTCTAGCGGCTTGTTTCGGACGTAGCTACCGCTCCCCGCCATCACGCAGGGGGGCGACGACGTCGAGAGAGAGGGCAGCATCGGCGGTCTCGGCGGCGCTCAGACTCACGGCAAACCCGCGGAACGCAACAACCCCCTCAGAGAGAAGGAATTCGTCCAGAAAACAAATACATGACATATGAAATGATTACGAAGGTGTTTGAACTCCAGGTTCGACCGCCAGTAAGGCCACCGTGCCACCACCACCCCCTGCAACCTCACTGGGGCCGATGGGTCACCTTGCTTCATTACTCACTCCGGTGTCTGACGGGGGGCTGAGGGAGCGAGCGAGCAGCACGAGAAGAGAACGGCGAGAGGGATTAGGAGGGAGAAAGAGAGAGAGAGAAACAGTTTCAGGACTTTTTAATGACCTGTCTCCAGCAGGGCAGCCAGGCAGCAGCAACTTTGTGTTGGTGGAATAAAAACTCCCCACTGCGCACAACGGTGAAGAGGTGGGGCGGGAGGGGCAGTTTATTGCGGACCAGTACGGGAGGCTTCGCGGGGGAGGTGTGGTGGGCGGCCG